AGCACTAACCGGAAATGTAGGTGATGAACTTGAAGATAGAGTATGTAGGAAGGTGGATTTAGGATACTTAAATGGAAACACTATTTCTTTGAAAGAAACATCCCTACTAACAAAGAAAGTGTCAGTGAAGATGTTGTATAATCTATAACCCTTTTGAGAAGTTGAATAACCCATGAAGATAGCAGGTATGGATCTTTGTGAGAACTTGTCAGTGTTATGTAAGGTGGTTGCATAACAAATACATCCAAAAACTCTAATGATGTCAAGTGAGGGAGGATGTCCATGAAAAACCTCATAAGGAGATTTCCTAGATAGGACTGAAGATGACAGTCTGTTAATAAGAAAAGTTGTAGTTAGTACACATTCCCCCTAGAATTTTAATGTTACATGTTCTTGAAACCTAAGAGCTCTAGCCATTTCAAGTAAATGTCTATGTTTCCTTTCTGCTACTCCATTTTGCTGTGGAGTATATACATAAGAACTTTGATGTAAAATGCCAATTGATGAGAAAATAGTTGAATATTGAGAATTGAAGAATTCAAGACCATTATATGATCTTATGATCTTAATTGTGGCAGAAAACTAATTTTTGACAAGAGTAAGAAAAGATTTAATTAAAAGGAAGACATCAGTTTTCATTCTCATCACGTAGATCCAAGTCATTCTAGAGTAATCATCTACAATAGTAAGGAAATACTTGTATCTATTATAGGGGTGTTCATAACCGAACCGAAACCGAAACCGAAAACCAAATCGAAACTGAAACTTAATGGCTTATTGGTATCGGGTTAACGGTTTAACGGACGGGGAACTGATTGAAAGTTTTTATTAACGGCTTATCGGTTTGAGGGCGGATTATTTAATTTTCTTAACGGATAATCCGTTAACCCGTTAAGAATATATATATATATATATATAAAATTTATTTTTATCCATATATATTAAATAATCAAAAACCCTTTCCATTACTCAATCTCTAACGCCTAAATTTCAACCAGCTGCCACCAGCAGTACTCTATCTCGTCGACTTCCAGGTTCCATCACTCTATCTCGTCGATAGAGTACTGCTTAAGCTTTTTGTTTCCAGCTAAGTGGATCCATTCCCATCTACATCTCAGTATTATCTTCCAATGTTGCAAGAGCTATCTTATCTTTTTGTCTTTTTCTTCTGATAGAAAACCATTCTTGAATCTTGAGACTTGTGAATTTTTTTTTATTTCTTTTTTTGGTTCGCACAACTTATGATAAATATTTTACTACTAATAGGTTTTAACAACCAACTGAGAACTTGAAGGAAGCATCATTTGAACATCCAGATTAGAAAGGACCTTTTTTGAATATCTTAATTCGTCTGAAATTAAGATCACAATTCTAAAAGGTAAGTTTCACATAGGCAAGTAAACAGTAAAAGTGGAAATTTTGTTTTGAGATTTTCCTTCCAACTAATAACGTGTGTGTTCACAAAGATTTAGCAATTAGGAGCAACTTTTAATGCACCAAAAAATATAACAATAATAATACTAATTTGAAAAATAAATTTCCCACTTCAAGATGTATTATAAAGACCAGATTGACTCATCTGTAATTTTCTGTTCTGATTTTTGAATTTGTATGCTGGGAGATTAACAAACAATTAATGCACGCAATATAGATTGAATTAGGCCGATAAACCGCCCGATAAGAGCTAAACCGATACCAATCCGTCCGATATCTTATCTGGTGGCTAGCAGATTAATATATTTAAAAACTAATAACCGATAAAGCCAAACCGTTAAGAGGAAATAACCGCCCAATCCGCCCAATAAGCAGCTCTAATCCATTATAAGTACATTATTTATAAGGACTCCAAACATCTATGTGTACAAGATCAAAAGGACATACACTCTTCTTTGTACTAGTAGGAAAATGAAATCTAGTTTGCCTTGCTAAAGGACAAACAATACAGTTTAGACTGTCTTTATTCAACAAATGATTCTTCAATGAAGGAATCTTTTGTAATACTGCTACTGGGGCATGACCAAATCTTTGGTGCCAAATAGAAGAATATGAACATGACTTTGATGAGATATTAGATGACTTTGTAACTGGAATTGTAGAAGCTGGAATTGTTGAAGGTATAAAAGAGTTGAAAGCAGGAGTTGAAGGTGTTTCAAGTACTTTGACAGGTGGTGGTATCTTGGCAGGTTAAAGTATGTAAAGTCCATCCTTCTCCTTACCAATCCCCCTCATCCTGCCATTATAAAGGTCTTGAAAAATGCAGAATTCAGGAAAGAATAGTGCACAACACTTTAGTTCTTTAGTTAACTTTGAAACAGATAACAAATTATATTTGAAGTTAGGAACATAAAGAACATTATACAGTTCTAGGTCATTTGAAAGAGTTAATGATCTTGTTTTTGTTTTACGGAAGTAGTGTTGCCATTAGGCAAATGTACTTTACTAGAGTAAGAGGCAACAAAATGGGATTCAGTTAAGATGTCCAAGCTAGAAACCATATGATTCGAAGCTCCAGTGTCTATGACCCAAGAGTTAGTTTCAGAACCACAGAGAAGCATGCATTAAGGAGATCAACTATACCTGCCATGTTTACTCTTGCATCTGTTGTTGTAGCTTCTTTATCAATTAACTTTAACAGTGGTGATACCGTTCTGGAGTGAAAAATGGTATGTTGATGGGCCCTGATGAGCTACCTACTGAGCTGGTTCCTTCAGATTCCTCAATATAGCTCACATTATTGGTTGTAGGTCCCCTGCTTCCTCCTTAATTTCCCTTGTCAAAAGTTCTCCTTTTGTTGAACTTATTGTTAGGTGGATATCCTATCAGCTTATAGCAATTTTCTTTCTTGTGGCCCTTCATATGACAATAGTCACATTGCAATACATTATTTCCATTGTTCTTTCTGAACCTGTTACTTTGAGTGGAGGCTAATGTTGTATGATCATTCAAATCAAGCTATTGCAAGGTTGGTGCTATTGAGATATCATGTTTGATTGCACTCTTTGGCTTTCATCCTGCATTATCATGTTATATGCCTGATTGAGAGTGGGAATAGGGACAGTCAATAGAACTTGACTCCTTGCCTGTGCATATGTCTCATTTAAGCCCATTAGAAATTGTACTAGTCTTTGTTGCTCTATGTGTTCAGCATATTCCTAATGCTTGGTCCCAGTCACATGGCAATAGTACCATTGATCAATACTCATCCCATGCACATTTTAGTTTTGAGTAATATTCTGACACTGATAAACTTCCTTGACTAGCGGTAAATGTTTTTCGGTGCAGTTGATAAACTCTAGTGAGATTTTTCTCATCAAATCTTTCCTTTAGATCTGTCCAAACATTATAGGCATTGGTTGAGTACATTATACCATTTGCTAACTCTTTAGACACTGAATTAGTTATCCAGGATAACATGAAGTCATTGCATCTCTCCCATTCATGCTCTAAATCACCACTATACTGTTGTTTCCGATATTTTCCATCTATGAACCCTAGCTTATTTTTGGCTAATAAAGCTACTCGCATAGAATTACTCCAAGCTATATAGTTTTTTATTCCTGTTAGTTGTTGAGGAATTAGCACACTACCTGGACTGTCTGAGGGATGTAGGTACAGAGGATGCCTGGGATGAATGTCCGTGAAGTTTTCTCCGTCGTCCTTCCCGGTCTCAAGAGTTGTATTTGTCATCATCGAGGCTTAAAATCAGTGATTCGAAGGTAAAATATGCATCAATCTATAAGGAAAAACTTTCACTTTGCCGGAATTTGCAAATTATGAGAACAATCGCAAACCCTAGGTGAATTCCCCAAATTTCTGATGAACTCTCTTAATCTCTCACTTCTCCGACAAGATTGAGTGAATATATCTATACTAATCTTAGATTCCTCAAAGAATCAACTCGAAAATCGCCATAGATCTATGGCTATGATACCATATTGAAAAGAGGAAGAGATATGTTCTTTGAGCTAAGAAAGAAAGAACAGAGAGCAGAGAGAGAAAGAAAGGAAAGTTCTGGAGAATTTTTGAACTCTGTTATTACATCTCAATGAACACGTGTGTAGCCCTTACATATACAACCCCTATTCTAACTTCCTCTAACAATACATATAACTAACTATTAGTGCTAAACTAATACTAATCAACTATGTACATATTTCATTGCTTATGTACAACTTCATACGACGCATGTTGATTTCAACATGAGATTTAGGACATTATAGAAATCTTGCACATTGATAGTTTTTGGAGGACACTAGCTGTAGGTATTTTCCCAATTGACACATCTGAAGCATGCTCCCAATTATAAATACTGTAAAAGGGCAGTCCAATACACTAAACTCCCGCAATGCGTGGGGTCCGGGAAGAGCCGGATCACAAGGGCCTATTGTACGCAACCTTATCCTGCATTTCTGCAAGAGGCTGTTTCTATGGCCCGAACCCGTGACCTCCTGGTCACATGGCAACAACTTTACCAGGTACGCCAAGGCTCCTCACTTATGAATACACCATATATCTTAAATTCTAAATGCAGCGCCGCGGGACTTGAAGTTTTTGGATGGTATGATTTTATAGGTGCAGAAAAAAGTTCGAGTGGGACTCTACAAACATTCGCCTTTGAGGATTTTGTAACGACGCATATTTAGTACTCCATATTTTAGTCATCTTTTGCACCCAATTAAAAAAAAGGATGGTAGAGCAGAAATATTGGAGTACCCTTTTTGCCATTCCTCTTTCTGTTTTGCTGTTAACTAAACGCTTCTACACCCCTGAGATTCATAGATGATCAGCCACATTTGATGATGATTTTCACACATGAAATTAACTTGCTGGTAGGAATTATGTATGCTTTGCCTTCTACATTCCTTTGTATATATATTGTTAAAGAATATATGTATATTCCATACTCTCGCGCCATCTGCTTTCTCGTTAGGGTTAATATATGAATATATACACACATGCGGTTAGTACTATACAGTATAAAAGATTTGAAACACCAAAAGTGAACAAAAAAATACTACTATAGCCTAATTTTTCGTTAAGACAAGTAGAAAAAATAGACTAATAGTTTATCAAATGAGAGGTTCACCCTTGACAATCAACCATGCAAAATCATTACCAACAATCTCACTTCCACATATATAAGCAAAGCCAAACACTAAAGGACAGCCTGGTGCACTCAGCTCCCGCTATGCGCGGGATCGCGGGAAGGGCCAGACTACAAAGATCTATACACAACCTTACCTTGCATTTCTGCCAGATGCTGTTTCCACGGCTTGAATCCGTGACCTCCTGGTCACATGGCAGCAACTTTACCAGTTACGCCAAAGCCAAACACTACAAGTACTAAATAAAATTAGGAAGCTGGAGCCTTCCCTAGTTTCTACAATTAAATCCACTCATGCTCAAACACAAATTGCATAACTTATACAACTAATCGCAATCTCAAATAAGTTTAGCTTCAATACACCGATAGTGTAAAAGAATTTTTACTCTATCCGTTAGTTATTGGTAGAGGAAGAAGAAGAGGAAGAATCAGATGCAACTTCAGTTTCCACTACTTGTCTTCTATGAAAGTTGCGGTGACAGCCGCAAGCTGCACAAGTAAAGGCGCTGTTTGTTCCTTCTTCCCCACTAATTGGCATATATTCTCGGCAGCCATCAACAGCATATCCTCCAACCCTCGCAGCATGATTCTTCTGGCACTCTTTATATCTCACACTAAAATTAGCTGAATTTATTGAGGAGTCTTCTCTCTTCAAATACAGTTGAAGTTTTTTCATCTTTTCTTGTGTACTGCAGATAATTTTAGAAGCTAAACAAGAAAGTGATGATGGATATGAGTGAAAAAGATTTGAGGGATTTGGGGAAGATATATAGGTGATGCTCTTGGTTCTTTGGCAAACCCTAACGCTACAAGACATATTCTAAAAAGTTAAAGTTATGCCGAGAGTGTAAAGATTTTTACACAATTAATGAAATTTAACCTATGATAACATGTACGTTAGTATTATTTTTATGAGGCCATCATAAAAATAATCAATTATTATTATTATTAACATATGATAATCCTATACATGATTTGATTGTGTAAATATATTTTGTACCATTATATTAATGCTGACACTTAAACTCATATTTTTATGGCGGGTTTATGTTCATGTACAGCATAAAAAGTATTACATATAGATTACTTGTAAGGTAATTATAAATATATTTCTATGAAAATTATTAATTGGTAACCTGCTAAAATAATAGCGCATATAAATTAAATCTTTTTCATAGCAGCCAGTAATTAGAACCTTCTTCTTCGTGGATTACTAAGTGCAACTTTGACCATTCATCATAATTTTGTTATCCTTTTTACAGTGTATTACTGTTTAGCCATTCATGTCTATTGGGGTCTTTTCTTGGTAATTCTCTAAAATGGTCGTTGTGAATTGATTGCTCAACTTCCAATTACACGTACTAAGTCGGCCAGGCTTAGAAAGATTTGCCGCTTCATTTAATTTCTTGTACAGAAAATCTAAATAAATCATCTTCATTTAGCGTGTGACACTGTTTGGTTTCTTATAGATGACGAGCTCAACTTTGCCTTGTTATAAGGTATTTCTAAGTTCTAACCAAGCAGTACCAAGAATAAATATACTGCAGCTAGCCTCAGTAGAAAATGTATAAAAGTCGATAAAAAAGTTACCAAAATTGTGCGGACAGACCTTTTTGTCTTCTCTTTTTGTTCGCCTATATGGATAATAATGTTAAGCTTCTTAGCTCTTTGCGTTGCAAATTGCAATTAATGTTATGCATCGTATCGCACAGATATTCCAACTGTACAATTTCGGGTTATGTCTAACCAAAAGGAATATTTGCAATCTCAAGTTCAGAAATAAATCCAACATGTAATAGATAAATTAATATGCAAATAAAACTAGTATAATATCTAAATTAAGTTATATGTTTACATTGGTGTACGGATGCAGTAAGCTAGTTTATTTGAGAAACTTGAACAGCGATATTTTCATGGACGACTTGACTTTTTCTTGCCTTTGATTCTTCGATAAAATATGAGTATGTGTTTGGTAAAAGCGCCATGGTAAAATTGTGACCTAAACTGGGAGCAGAAGTGAATCAAGGATTTAACGTAAATTGATTCGAATATATATGTATATGATTTCTAGTCAAAGTTGAATTTGGCTTCGCGAGCACTTACTGTTTACAACGATTAGAAACTGGAGTCGTAATTCTGCAATTCTTCTAAGTTCTAATTATCATAAACACTTTGTCTCAACTAATAAAGTAATCTTTATATCTCTTTTCTTATTGGCCATTTTAGGTGTCTATTCCGTAATTTGTCCTTATTATTCTCCCATCATCCCAGACCCTTTTCTTTCTATATTTGTATTGTATCCTTAAATTAAGCTTACAGAGAGACATTCACATTTCACATACTGGTGAGACATGTAGTTAATACGACATGATATGTGTGAATTATAATCGTACGTCTTATCTTTCACTAAAAAAATTAACAAATCTGGTGTAGAGCTAAACAGAGTAATCGATTTTTTTCTCTCTTTGTTTTTTTCCCTCTATATCCAATTAACATGTTAGTCTTTAAATAGCGCAGGAACTTCTTTGGTAGAAACATCACATTGTTTAATTATATTCTTTTCGACATGGTATTGTTCTCTTCTTCTTTTGTTTTTCCCTTTCTTTCTTTCTGGAGCTTTATATATATATAAACACACTTAAATACATCAGTAATTACTAGATGAAGGAGATAATACGTACGAAAAAACTGCTGATCAAAAAGAGTTATATATGGCTATTTTTAAAGAAAAACTATAGCTCAATTGCGACGTTCTAGTAATTGCAATTTCATGAAAGCCATGGTAGTGAATGGAAAACTCCAGTTAGTAGCTTCATAGCTAAGCTTTTGGAATTGTGAAACCCTCTTAACATAAGCTTTAAACTTTTGGAAAGCAGGAAAAAAGAAAAACTTCTGAAAAGATAAAACCTCGATATTGATATATATATATNATCTATCCACAGGTTTTTTGTTATAAACGTTTATTCCCGCAAATCAAGTTTTTCATGTTATTTCTCGCCCTTAACTTGTGATGCCAAATGCTTTAAATTTCTTGAGTTAATTTTCAATTATTGATTTCTGACAATTCTAATAACAGAACAAATGTGAAATGGCTACATACCATTCAATAAAAATGAGACATCGATGATAGAAGGAACTTATTTCGCAAAAAGAATGAAAAAGAACAAAGTGTATTTCGCAATACAAAAAGAGATTGCCCCATATTTGTGTGAATTTATAGTCTCTTTTGTTGGAATATACTTTTAACCATGTGGTATAGATATTTCGTGCATATGTTGAATAGTTGTTTTATACGTTCATCTATCTTTCAGGAGCAGTCGTATGGTTTTCCGAGAGATCGCCATGAGTTCTTTGCCAAATTAGATGGAGTGGGGAAGCTTAGAACTATTTTCAACTTGAATCTAGCACCCTCACAAGGTACTATTCCTCATAAAAGAATTTTATGATGTATTGTGTTTTATTCTTTATGAAATAAATTATTTATTTGATTTATTTTATTCAATAAAGTATTATTTTAAATAGATCATTTGTTACATGTGTGCCCTTTAGTTATGTGGTAGACAATTTAGTGTATGGAGTCATAGCTCATGCACAAAAGATTAAATTATCGGTTCTCATAATTAATAACTTATGTTCACAATCGAAGATATTGTTGTGCAAAATATCTTGATGATTGTAGCACAAGATTAAAGTATAATTTATCTTGATTATGAGAGTGGTTTTGCTCCAACTTCTTGTGCTAGTATACTTAGAGTTAGTGTATGACTAGTAGATTGGACAATAATGAATAACATTTGCGAAATAATAATTAGTTGATAGAATCAGTGACTCAGTTTTGAGTTTGATGATATCCCTTTATGTAAGCTTATAAGTTTTCATGTGAAAACGTAACCCGGCCAGTGGATTTTGTATCCGTTTTATGAAATAGTTTAAGTAGAATCGTAAAGGATTTAATTAGTTGATTAAATTAAATTGTTAGTGATTTGGTTTAATTAACTGGTATTTATAATCTTAACATGGGGAATTAAGAAAAGTGTTAGTGAATTTTCGAAATTCATATTGGGGAGTTTAATTGCAGTTTTTAGTGGAATAAATTGTAATTAATTACACTAGGATTTAATTCATCCGAATTTTTGAATTAATACTATATTTTGTAGCCACTTATTGTTTCTGTGGTCCCTGCTATACCTAGTAATAATCTGGATAGACCTAGGTAAAAAGTGATGTAACTACCCGACTGGTCATTTTTCTTTCTAGAACCCCATTATCCTAAATAGGACTTTCTGTACTTGCTTTAACTGATTTATGATTTGAGGGAATGGTTGGTTCGGGATTTGGAAGAGTTTGAGTTGAAATCGGAACACTTGATTCCTTAAGGTTGGCTTAAAAGGCCAAGTTTGACTTCGGTCAATATTTTGAGTAAACGACATCGGAATTGGGATTTGAAGGTTCCAACAGGTTTGTATGACGATTTCACTTCCGTATCGGGTTTTGGATGACCCGTGAGCGTTTTGGCGCCAAATAGTGAAAGTTGATTCCTTAAGGATTTTGAAGTTCTTAAATATTGAGCGGGTTTTTGTGTTATCGAGTTCCAAACGGAATCGAGACTAGGAATAGTTCCGTATTGTTATTTAAGAATTGCACGCAAAATTTGGTGCCAATCCGTGTAGTATAAGTGTGTTTCGATACATTTGAGGTAGATTGAAGAATTTGAAGTTCATAAGTTTGATTCAATTGGTTTAGGGGGTGATTTTTAGATTTAGCGTTGTTTCGGGCGTTCCGAGTGTTCGCGCAAGTCCGTTTTATCATTGCAAACATCTCGGTACATTCGGGCGGGGCCTCGGGAGCCCGAGCGTCAATTGTACGAGGCTCGAGTTGATTTAGAAATTTTTAGAAGGAGGTGAAGCTCCGGTTCTATCATAACCGCACCTGCGGTTGGCCAGCCGCATGTGCGAGATCGCAGAAGCAGTCCCAAACTGCAGATGCGGCCCCAGCTAGCCCGGCCAGTTTCGCAGATGCAGACCTTCCTTCGCAGAAGCGAGACTGCAGATGCGGTCCCCTAACCGCAGGTGCGGTAATCACTGAAGGCAATGCCTTCATTAAATACGGGAAATGTGTCATTTTTGACACATTTTATTTATTTCTTGGGCGATTTGGGAGCTTACAAAGAGGGGATTTCAACCTACCTTTGTGAGGTAAGTTATTTCTATTTAATGTGAGTTTAATACTTAGTTTTTGGGTAGCTTAACACATAAAGATTAGTGAAAATAATGGGATTAGAGTAAAGCCTAGGGTTTTGATAAAAACAAGATCTATCCATAAAATTTGTTATGGAATGAAGTAAAAACCATATATTCATGATCCTTAGGTTATGGGTGACAATTTTTTTCAAAATATTTTCGAAACCCGGCACATGGGCCCGGGGATGAATTTTAGGAACTTCGCATTTAGGGTTGGCAAATTAGTTTAATAGCTAGAATATGAACTCTTGAGCATGTATTGACTAGTTCTTACCTCATTTAAATAGTTTTTGGATCGTTCGGCTCCGATATGAGGATTTGAGCGCATTCTTGAAATTTGAAGTGAGCTTTGGGATGAGGTAAGTCTCCTTTCTAACCTTGTAAGAGGTAAGTGTCCCCATAGGAGAAATAATTGAATATTTACCCCTAATTGCGGGGGCTACGTACGCACGAGGTGACGAGAGTCCATTCGTAGCTACTATTATGCTTAAGTTCAGGTAGTTTAGGACCCAAAAGCATGCTTTACGTGCCATATTTGTAACTTTATTGTTAATTTAGATTGCGTG